ATCAGTCTTGGACTGTCACAATTAAATAGTCTGCACTAGATGTTTTTAAGTCAAGCTGGAATGATTAATTGTTTGTGGAATCCCATTACCTGACAAAGGCTCCAACCTGACTCCAATATATGATCAGCTAGAGTTCTGCATTTAGGGGCTTGATTTCCAGTCTTGCTGTAGTCATGCTTTTGGACTTCAGGATGCAGCTAAGCAGGAATACTCAACTTGTGTGACAGCCATTGGGAAAAATCCAGATATTGGGAGAATCTTCACCCACTCCAGCAAATGGATAGTCTTCATTTGTCAGTCTATCACAAGGGAAAATAAACTAAGATTTCCCTCTTTCTCAAACACTCAAAATTTCTGCTTCCACTGTCTGAGTTCACAGCAGTTGATAGTCCCTAAATTGCCCAAGACTGTAATTGTTTCCTGTTTATTTATGTTTGGATATTCACGGACCCAGTTTGAAAAATTACTATACCAGAGCCAAGTAATGAAGTTTGCTAAAGGAAGTCTTGCAGTCCAAGCAAAAACTAGAAAAATTTTCCCTCTTCTTTCACCAGCTGAGGGTGAACTATTGACAAGTACAACAGAGCCAGGCTCTCTCCAGCCTCATTTAATCTCTTTAAACCTCTGCATGCAAGAGCTAGGTTCCTTCCCCATATGCTCCTGGGAACATGGGAACAAAAGAGGAATTAATGAACTACCTTGAAAAACCAGCAACTTGGAAAAAATAAACCATAGCAATATAAACGAGCAAAGGAAGAAGAGTAAAAATGTATTAGTCATGGTGTAACTGCTCTCAGAACTCAGTATGCTTAACAGTTCAAGACAGAAATCCCAGCAATTTCATGTTCAGTTCTAAACATTAGCAACTTAAAAAGAAATGAAGTGAGGTCTCCTGAGAATGAAATTGTGTATGTCTATTCATATGGTCAAACAAGGGTTTTTGCTGTTTGCAACCTCCCTGCTTACTCTTTCATACTTTATTGTGTTCAGGACTTCTAGGAAAATTCTTTTTTATAACAGTAGACAGTTTTGCCTGGATTTCAAGAAAGCTTATTTCATGGTGCATGACCTGAGTGTGTCAATATGTTTTTAATTTACGAAAACTTTTGAGTGGTTGAACTTGAGACCTGAACAAGAGCTCTCAGGCTTGAATATTTTCTTGCTTGAAGAAACCATACATCAGAGGTGAAGACACTTAGAGAACCATTCAACCCAGCAAAGCTGCCAGGTGTCCATCAGCAATTGGGCTCCCATCTTGAGAGTACTTTCATTTCTCCGCTGTCAACAAACTCTGTAATTTTTCATGCCATATCTTCACCACTTATCTAACTCCCTTTATCCTCATTATGCAGTAAACATAAAGGAAATAGTCAAAGTGAGACTGTGTGCTTTGCATTTAATAAATGTTGTGATCTGACCACAGGCCCCCAGTGACTGTTCATTGTTCTCTTTCCTTTGGCATGTTGACTATGCCAAAAAACATCATCCTCTGTCTGCTATCAAAGGACATTTCCCCCTCCCTTTCCTTCCTTCCACCAACTCCCTTTTTCTCTCATTCCTGCATTATGCTCTCGTAGTATTTCAGCTTTCAGGAATATTTGGTACAATTTTTGGGCATCCACTTTGGGCTCATTCTTTGCAGCCAGTTCTGATTTGGAAGCATCAGGACCCCTCATGCATGGTGTGCTAAGGTTTTTTTTCTTTTTGGTGGTAGTCTTTTTAAAATCAATATCTGTGTGTATTAATTGCAGGCACAGGGTTAATGCTGTCGGATCACAGGTGACCTTTAATTTTGCTGTGTTGCTTGCCTCAGAGCCTGCAATTCTAATCAAGCAGGTTTGCTGTCTTTACTGGGTTTCCCATAGGATGCTGCTTGCAGTGATATTTGGATGATGGAGAAAATTACATCTTGGGAAAACCTTTAGTGATTTTAAATACGTGGCTGAATTAAGTGGTAGTGCATGAACAGCAGTTGCTATATGAAAATTACCGATGATGTTTTAAACTGAAGTGACATTTCACACTATTTTCTTTGAAATTAATGCCTAGCACCTCATTTAGCTATTTCACTAAGAATGTGTGAAAGAGTGTATTTCCATGAGTTTTGAAAGTACTTTTTAGCTGTAGATTAAGATGTTGTTTAAAAAGGGGCCAGAGTGATGTCCAAGCCTTTTCATATCTGATCACAAGTCTAGTCTTTCTGACAGTTGTTCAAGAGTCTCTCAAAGAGGGGAAAAAAAGAGGTTTAGAACAAAATCTAAAATTAGAACTCTATGACTGGAGGTCTGCAATTAGATTTGGGAGGTCAGCCTGATATTTTGGTCAGAATCCAAGTTGTTCAATGTCAGCACCACGTTACCATCACAGATATCAATGTGGCTTATTATTTCAAGTGCTGGAACCAGCAGGACCTGAAGAAGCTGTTCAGCCTCAAAAGTAACGGTCCATGACCCAAAAAATCTTCCAAGTGAGGTGAACAAAACCGATGAGAAAGTGATCTAAAAGAAGCACAAAGGCACAAGACTGACAAGACTTGTCAGCCCTGGAAGCAGAGACCTTGAGGCACATGAACTCAGGGGTCCAGGTGCTGTGTAGTCCACATGGCAGAGGAGACAGAACAAGTGGATGAGATGGATCCGTGCTGGCTGTATGGAGCTGTGTCTAGTTATGGAGGACACCCCATGGAGAGGGCATGAAGATGTTTGTTCCACTCTCGGATAAGAGACCTATGAAGTGGCCTTTGCCAACAGGAAGCAGAAATTCAGACTGATACACTCTTGTAAAGAGGCTGGTGACTGCCCAAGGCTAGTGGATTTGTCTCTGTACATTAATCACAGCTTGGAGAAAGCTTGAGTGAACAGTATGTCTTGCTATACTAATTCCAGAATGAAGCATAATTTTCTTCTGCAGTGCTCCCAGTCTCAGTGCGCTTCATTAGAGCCACCAGTCTCTGAGATGCGTTCAGTGGGAGCAGTGGCATTTCCAGCATCTGTTGAGCTGACTTTCAGCCCTCTGCTGCCAGTAGATTCTGTAGGTAACAGTGGAGACAGCAGAAATATCAGCATCAAAGAGAAGAAATTAAAAGAAAGAGTATGGGAAGTGGGATTTTAAATACAGTTAGTTTTCATACCTTTTCATTAATCCTGTATTGTTGAGAGCTAGCACTTAAACCAAGGGTCACTGAAGCAGAATAAATGGGCAATAGATTTTGAGCAACACCTGAGGAATAGAATCCCCACTATTGACTTTGAACAGTGGGAGCAAAGGAAACTCTCTATTTTCTTGTATGTAGCCAGTGTTACAGATCAGGAGCCTCCTCTTGTTATGTCAGAGCAACTGCTCTCAAGTTTAGCAGTGAGCAAGGGAAGCTGGGGAATAAATGTTTCTCTTAGAAACACAGTTCACAATGTGCTGGGCTTGTATTCTAATCTGGAGACAAGATATTGGCAGCACTGACAAGCCACAGCTATGGAGGGAGTTCTGCCTTGCCTCAGAAGGGGAGAGGTGGGCAGAGCATCACAGGTGGGAACATAAAAACGTCCCTTGGGCTTGAGAGGCTGAGCTCTACAATCACTCTGAGCAAAGCTCCAGACCCACATAACATAAGCTGTGTTTTGCAGTCAGTGGCTATGGAAAGCTTATAGGTTTTGGGTTGCTTTGGTGATTACCTGTGTCTGTCACATGGCCCTGCAGCTGAATGGCAAGATCACAGGACAAGCTAGTAGGGGAGAAAACTGACATAATTCCTGGTGGAATATCATGCTGAGACTCTGGCTTCCTGTTGGAAAAACAGGAAATATTGGGGTTTTTTTCTGGAAGGATGGACTAGTTTCAGTGCTGGGGCACATTCACAAAAGCCTCTCCGCCTTTACAACTGGGCAGTTTTTTGTTCCCACTGTCCCCAGAATAATAGCTAAAAAGAGAAAAAGCTTTTGAGTAGGTTCATTTTATCTTGCCTGGAAAAGACTGAGACCATGGGGGTTTGTGTGCTTTGGGATTTTGGACAATCCACTCCTAAATGACCCAGCTGGTTGGACTGCTACTAGCTGTTCAGAGACACCACTATATAAAGTGCTTCACTGTGAGGTTTTTTTCAGTATTGAGCTTAAATTTTCCTTTTGGATTCTTGCTGCCTCTTCCTAGAGCACTTTAACAACAGCCAATCAATAGCAAAATTAAGAGTAGGGATGGACAGGTGGTCCTTTCCTTAGCTTCTCAGCACTGAACTGTCAAAACTACTTGTCTAGTTTTCTGTTGTAAACACCCCTAGGTGTGAAATGCTAAAGAGCTTTTTTTATGAGCAGCAATGAAGTTGATTGTTCAAGTAATTTGAAAAATTACAATATACATTGTTTAAAGGCATATGCTTTTTTTCCTTCTTTGTGGTTTGCATCCTCAGTCTCTTTATTATTAACAGAGTTTGTCTTTATTGATAAAATTTGAATATTATTCTTTGAATATTACTCTTCTAATTGAGGGAATCTGGAAGATCAGCTGTTTTGCATTAGTGGTTTGCATTTGGGGATGCAGAAGTGGAAAGGTTCTTTTGTAGGTATGTGATGATGAGTTAAGTGTTTGGTACAACTCTGGGGCAATGAAATTACTGCTGCAAGTAATTTTGAAGCTGTATCACAGAACAGAAATACCTACAAAGATTGAATACAGTATACACATACAAGATCTAGGAGTTTTGTTTGTTTTATTTTTTAAGCCACACATTACTTCTTTTGAGCATAGTGTATTAATAGTATAGAAAGAGATAATTTATGTTATCTCTTTCTATACTATTAAACATTTTTAGCTATTATCCCTCTCATCCTTAACATATATACACTCCTGCCTCAGAGGTGTTTTCAGCAAGCTGAAAGTACACCCTCTTACAAGTAAGTGTGGCTCTCCAGGCAAAAGTCCAGCCCTCACAGTGAGCCTCATCCTGGGCAGGATGAAGCAATCAACATCAAGATCTCCACTGAGCAGAGACTCACAGAGGGAAACTTGTTGCTGTTTCACTCTGCAGCTGAAGAAACATACAGTAGTGGCAGGGAGCCTTGGGGCAGCTGGTTTAAGGATTGATTTTGCAAGCTGTTCCTTACTATCTGACATTCATAAAATTCATCTTGAACAACTGGTTTTCCTACTGAACTCTTCAACTCTGACCAGAAGAGGATCCTGCTGGCTGGACACATTCAGATCATCTCTGGAGCTGCACAAAATGGTACCAGATGCACTGAGATCCAGTGAGTAGAGTTTGAGGGTTTTTTTCCTGTCAGTTGTAAGAATTTGCTCTAATCCTTCCCTGGGAACTTAGCTAACGTGAGCAGTAAAGGCTCTTCCCAGAGATAGCCTCCCACTGCATTCAGCTCTGTACTCAGAAAATGGGGCTGGATTAAAAGAGCACAATTGCTCCTGGACAGTTGGTTTGTGGCCAGCCATGTGGTAGAATAGCTTGGACATAAATTTTAATTTAATGCAGAGTTGCTAATCAACATCAAGTATGTGAATGTCAGTGGCTGATAAATTTAATTGGATGTTTGTTTAAGAGCATTAAAGGAAGTATGTGCTTGAAGCATCAAAGAGTAAGTCTTAGAACTTCAAACAATACTCTGGTTACATTTTTGGGAAGGGCTGTCACCAGATCTGTGCTCTCTGGCTGCTGCAGTGATACTCTATTGCATCAGTTTCTGAATTTGCATGGCACTTACTAAAATAAGTGTGTACGTAAATAGGTTACGCAGGACAATATACATGTACATAAATACACTTTGGAAGAATGATGTCAAAAGAACACTGTTGTGGTAGGCAGCAAAGACCTAGCTAGCATCAGGAATGCCTGCCAAATCCTGATTTGCTCCTCCTGTCATCCCACCACCATGTATCACGGGCACAGTTCTCGTTTGATCACACACTGCATCCCTAGCAGGACCATGAACGCAGAGCATGGCTCTGGTGAGAAGCTGGGACTAGGGGAAGAAGCCAATTTCTCCAAAGGAGCACATGTGTGCTCTTTCTGTCCACAGTAGGTAGACCAAAGTTTTTAGCCATGCCAAGGAAATGTAGGTCAGGCTTCATGTAGAAAATGCAAACAGCAAAATGCTGACATAGAATTACCTGGAAAGATGGAAGAATTGCTGATCCTGGAGCTCAAAGAAAGCCAGAGCAACCTCTTTCTGCATCATGGGAAACAAGCGGACTAAGTGGCTTCCACTTTCTTTCCCCACATTCCCATCCCATTGACTCTGAATCCTTGTTTTGTGCCTCTTTTTCACTAAGAACTAAAGTTAGGAGATAGATGACAAATGGGGCAGGCATTGGTAGAAGGGGAAAGGAGCCTTTGGCAGCTGAATGTGGTCCTAGAGAAAGGCATTCCTTCCCATCCTGCAAGGCACTGCAGAAGTTTTGCAGCTCTCAGTTGCTTCCAGTTGGCATTCTGTGTGTGTCCACCTGCAGTCTCATGTGAAGGATTAAACCCTAAATGTTTAAACTGAAATAGCAGAATATGCACTCTGAATATGTGATGTTGACCTTCCCAGAAAGCTGCAAAGTGAGGGTAATACAGCATTTTCAGTGGCATTGCACAAGAGGGTTTGTTAATACTTCAGAGCACTTGGATGCTGTAGGGATTGTGGTGAGGATGAGGCCATAAGGAAAGGATAAATTTTGTCCCCACAGTGGAGACTGAACAGTGCACCATCAAGAAAGCCAAGGGCTATGAGTTGAGTGACAAGAAGACAAAACATTGAATGAGTTCTGATTAAGTGACAACATTTTACTCCTTGTGTTGGATGACGCAGGAACACCAGGGGAAATGCAGTCTGGAGTGTTTTACTGAAAACTGTACAATAATTCAGTTTCCAATCACATGAGTATTAAAGTGGGTGACTAGCTTCTTTGTGAGGAATGCAAAGCCACTCCTAAAGCACACACAAGCATCTACCTTAAATGAAGAAATACAAACAAAAAGATTCATCTTTGTAAATTTGAAATCTGTGGCATTTGCCAGGTGTTGGATCCCTCAGTCCTGCACATAGACAAGATGACAGCAATGGCAAGCTGATGTTCTCAAGGCTAGTAAGTGCTAGTGGTCTGGTGCTCTTTTGCCAGCAGGTGTGTGTTGATAAATGTTGATGCATAGCAGGGGATTTGGGTAGCCTGACCTTATCCCAGATTTGGGAGGGGGCATACTGAAGAAGGCATAGACTTTTTTTGTTGCAGTCTTTGTCCTATGCTTGTTATCACTGAAAAGATTTTGGTACCTTCTATTACTGTCCTGGGCTGCCCAACTACACTGGATCACCTTAGACATACATTTTAAAAATTAATGATTTCTCATAACCCCATCCTGCATAAATGGCCAAACCATTGTGCATTTTTTGTGGGAAGTGTCGTGTATAACAAATGCAGTTTTGTCTACAAGATCCTGTCAGTCTGTATGTACTTGCAGAAATGGCTTGAGACTGTGAGGCAGAAACTGTAGGAAGCTTTAAAATCTCTTGCTGTAACAACCATGGCAATCAGCAAACCTAAGTCATGCTCTGACTCCCAAATTTTCTCTGAACTTAAGAAATAAATGTAGGGCTTCAGTCAATCATCTAAGAATTGCTATGCATGGTGTAACTACATGCTAGGAGAAGGGGATATCAGCCTCTCCTACAAGATCCTACTGCTCTATTTATTTTAATCACCCTATTAGTGGTTAAAGTTCAGGGATAAATCTGAGTCTCCTAACAATGTCCCTGTGAATGTACATCCTTCTAGGGAGAGCATGAGTGCTTTGTTCTTCATTCCAACAACTTATCTCCAAACACTCCTACATCTTTATTTTGCAGGACATAAACCAGGATGTCATAAAATGCCAGGCATGAGAAACACAGCGAGAAACACTGCAATTCCCCCAAAAAAGTAGACAGTGCAAGGGACAGAGTGTAAGGTACAGGTTCCCACAGGGATGCAGCTGGCATACAAGTATGACAAAGTACAATGATGGGCTCCTGACTGATCACAGCTAGGTTTTTGTCAGCCCCTTCAGGAAGAACCTGAAAGAATGATGCAACCTCCAGTAAAACACATCTCATTCCTTCTTGCTGTCCATCTTAGGCAAATGATGCAACACCTGAGGCTGCTGACACATTGAGCTGATCTCACAGCTGACTAAGGAGGAGGCAGTCAATGAAATGTGAGACTATGCCCCCAGCTCTATTCAACGGGCTTGATTCTTTTGTACAGTTTCTTATGATCAAAAATTATTAGATCAGCAGAAAAGAAGACCGAAAGAGATGAAATTCTCCTGGGACTCCCTAATTTTAGATTACAGAGTGAGTTAGTCAGATGAGACACATTTAGAATGAATAGGAGCATCTTTCTGTGCATGCTTGGGAATTCGTTGCTGCAAGCATAAAAACCCACTAATAAAGTAGTAGCAAAGCAAGAGCTGAAATTCTCATTTCAGTCAATTTCTGCCCCCACTTACCCCAGTGCAGACACATTTCTGCCTGATGCCCTGGCTTAGCTGCAGCCAAGGATACAAGGTCACGCCTGGAAGATCTTTACAGATGCAATTGATGCTTGCACTGCAGAGCACCCTGCCCAATTAGAGATGGAAAAATCCATATTTTAAATATTTTTTTAACTTGAGCACATTGCATCTAGTGCTTGAGACAGTGTAATTACAACAATTTTTCACTGTCTGTAGTGTTGCTTCTCTGAAAAATAAACAGAGATCCTACAGTCTTTGAATATGTGCTGACATTAATCAGCTTTTCCCTGATTGTAACTATCATCCTCAGTAGGTATTCAGTTAATAGTCCGTCTTTCGTTGTGAAGCTTGAAATAATAATATTTGGAATATAATGCAATTAATTTCAAGGTTTCTTGCTAAACATATTGTAACCCTTTTTTAGTTCAAACAATGATATTAATGATACTTTAGAGGGAACATGTGGTTCTTTGACACTGTACTCCAAGACTTCCTGGTTAACAATAATAAAACCTTTCTGCAGTGTGATACTAGCTAGACCTCTTGCAGAACATCTTCAGGAGTGGATTATTGCTCCTCTGGGAGGATAACTCCAGCAAAACCAGCACCTGCTCAGGGTGCTACCAAGGCAGCTTGCAGCACCATCAGCCATCTGTGACTGCTGCACCACCAGTGAACAAGGAGTGAATCCTAAAGCACTAGCATACATTCAAAAGCAAAATCCTATAAATCAAGTAAGTGTCCACAAAAGAGGCAGAGAGGAAATGGCAAAGGTATTGAATTGCCTCTGGGATATTGTCACCCAAATATTAATAGAAACCAAGAATTTCTAGGCCAGGTCTCTAAAGCAAACCCTCGGTGTCACATTAGTGTGTATGTGAACTGCCAAGGCTTTCACAAAACCTCTCACCTGAAACAGACAGCACACACAGGCTCCGGTATCTCCTCCCCAAGGATAATGCATGGAAGGATGTACAAGAGACACGTCCCATCTCAGTCCCACCCTGTTCTCTAGTAATTGCAGGTTGGCTAAAGATCTGAAGCATAACACTTAATTTCTCTTCTTAGGTTTGTGTAATTATTTGTAGCTTTATTCCCAGTAGTCATAGAAATGGTCTAGTGTCTCTCTGAATTCTGCTGTGATCACTGACACCCTGAGGCACAGAAGTTCTTGCTCTTTGTGAAGTCCTTACCCTCCCAATTTTGTAGTCATCCCCTTTTAGAGCCATCAGGTGTCTCCCGTGCCATTGTGTCTTGAGTTAGAGAGAACAGAGTTTCTACACCTTGGATCATTGATAATTTATTATTCTTTTCCATCTCCCATTTCTAGCTCCTCCTTGGAACAAGAAATGTTTGAAGTTTAATCACCTTGAGCCTTTCTAGGTTTTGACTGCCACTCTTTTTCCTTTTAGAAAAGTATTTGGTTATTCAACAGCCATTTTTTAAGATAAGCAGCACTTGGCATGCTGTTGCAAGAGGCTTGCCCATTGATTCATTCCTTCATTCCTCTTAAACAATATGACCTTTTGGCATGATAATCTTAATCTTGTCACTTATTCTTGTTTCCTTTTGACAGGAGTTGGAGACCGAGCATAAAACTTCACTGAACTGTGCAGATTTTAAAAACATGTCAATTTTTCCCTAATTTATCTGTAAATTAAGTATTACAAAAGAAAATCTGGGTAGAGAAAAAAAACCAGAATTTATTTGCCCTCTACCCACATGACAGTTTTTACTGTTCCATGCAAAGTTTAAGGATTTCAA